CATCTTTTTACATATATTTATTTGATAAAATCTCATGAAAATGCTAAATATATAAACAAGTAAAATATGGCATAATTGTTAAAAAAACCCTAAATTATTTAAGAAAAATTTAAATAAGTTCTTATTTTTTTATTACAATATTCAAGCAAGCCTTTATATTTTTATTTGAATTAAATAAGTTTTTACAATTAATGTTTGACTAATTGTTGTTAGTCAAAATGTTCTTTATAATTTTATGTCACATGATATTGATATAGTATATTAATATATTATAATAGATAATAATATAATATGATATGATGACATGAACTTGCATGTGGTACTTTCACTTTTTACGTCAATGTCACGTTAATGTTATATAAAAAAATGACAAGTGATATTTTAACTAATGACGGTTAATCAATTATTATAAAAGTCTATTTGATTTAAAATAAAAAAATATAAAAATTTAATTAGACGTAATAAAAGAATAAATATTTAGTTAAGTTTTTTTGAATAATTTAAGAACTTTTTCAAACATTATGCTATAAAATACTGTAAAATTGAAAAAAAGTTACAATAAGGCTTTTGGTATCTAAAAAATTCAAAAGCTTTGAATCCTTATCCTTGAGTTAGAACCTCATTGAAGGAACTTGTAATCTAAACTTTTGGAGATGGAAATATTCTAAATCCAAGGAGCAAAGAAAAGATTTTCCCTAGAAAAAACATAGGGGGGACCCATAATGATCAAGTTGATATTATACCACCCAAGTGGGCCAAAAGGAAAATGTCCAAAGCCTAGATAATGAGGGCGGTCCAATTGCAAGACTAATTGACCAAATATGGGCCCCAGCTGATGGGCCCATTAGAGAATCTATGGAGAATATTTTCTTTTTGTTTTTTTTTTCTAATATTTGGGTTGTTAATTTGATGAGCCAAATCCCAAGAAACTTGAAACTATAAACCAAGTTTAATCATAGAGCATATCGGATTTAATTAGGCGTAAGGGCGGTGCCATTGAAATTGAGACAGTTGTTGTCAACGCATTTAATTGTTCTCACTCCATTTCTTTCCATGTCATGATCTCACTTTTTCTTTTAAAACGTAAAACGCTCAAAGATATTATATTTTTAAAAATAAATTATTTATAATTAATTTTAATTAAATTAAATAAAATTTTTTTTAATAAAATCTCCTCATATTTAAATGTATATAATGTTACATGCTATATATATGATGTTATATATCATGTACAAAAATATATTACACTTTGTGATTAAAAAAAGTTATTATATAACATGTTGAAAAAAAAATATTATCGTTACATGCTATGTACAAAAACATATTACAAGTTATATTGAAAAACAAATATTATTGTTACATACCATATTAAAAAAAATATTGTTATATGTCATATAAAAAAACATGTTACAAGTTATGTTGAAAAAAAAATTATTATATACTATGTACAAAAACAATTTACATGCTTGACAAATGTCTGAAGTCAAAAATTGATAAAATTAGAGAGAGCTAAATGGTGAGAGAAAGAAATTGGAAGCACAGATGGATATGAGAAAATTATTATAAATAGTTTAATTTATTTGAAATGGTTTTAAAAGTATTTTTATCAAGTCATGATTAAAGATTGTTAAAAACAATTAATTTTATTTTAACGGTTATTTTTGAACATTTCTCACAATTTTCTCTTTCTTTTTTAATTTTTATTAAAAAATTAAAAGTAAATTTATTTATTTATTTAAATAGAGTCTTAAGAAGTCTAACAATTTATTTATTTATATACTAATATTTATTTTTTTTTATTTTTAAATAATCATTAGATAAATTATAAATATTTCTAAAATGTAAAATCAATTATCCATAAATAAATAAAAGTTATAATTGAAAGACAAGTAAATTATTCAATACTATTAAATAAAACACATTTTTTGAATGAAAATCATTTAATGCAATTAAAATTCTTATTTACAAATTGGATAAATGTTATTAATGTTTATATAAAAAATATAGATAAACGTGATTATGATTTTGAGATTGAAAATAAATAAGTGGAAGTAGTATGGTTGGAAAGAAGAATGTACATACCAATATTACTGCAACTAGGCTTATTAGGTAAGCCTACGACACTCCATGTACATGGATGTTTTATTAATAAAATACAAAAAGGGAAAAGAAGAGAGATGCTTCTGGGAGAGGTAGGAAGAAATAAAAACCCATTAATTAAAGCCAATGTAGTCCTAAAGCCCTTCATAACCAAGTTTTCTACGGTGCTACTATTGGGTACTTGTCTATAGTCTTGGGCTGATTTTTGTTTTGATGGTTGGACTTGGTGGTTCGGACAGAGAAAGAACCGTCCAAGTGTAAATATTACGGATTTCACAGTCCAAGTAAAGATTTTTGTCCCCTTAATCGGTATAAAGCCTAAAGCCTTTCTGATCACTTGATCATTATTCGGCTATGCCAAGGTTTTGTATCAGTTTCCATGATACTTAATTAGATAATAAGTTTTTGTTGCTCTAAGGTTCAGCTTTCATGATTTTGTACATGTCCTATGTATTCAATTATACGTAGCATGTAAAGGCTATACTTTTACCCTTTGTTTTTCCCTCAATTTGTTTGTCTTCAGCTTTTCCTTTTGTTTATAGTTTATGTTTCATTCATTAATACTTAGCATACAAATATAAATGCTACTTTTTTTGGTTTAATGAATCCTTAATTAAAATAATACTTGCACCCCAATAACTTTTATTTTGACACCAAACTAGACATTGTTGTTGCATCATTCTTTC